TTGGACAATTAAACAGACTTTCAAGGGGGAGGAAAAGAGGAATGAACTGGGAGGGAAGAGGAGGGTAGAGAAAATTGTGCAACAATGAATGAATGGAAACCCAAAATCTCTGTAAATGTTCATTAAGATTAATAAACTTTAAATTAAAAAAAGGACCTAACATTAGTCAACCTCTAAGCACCAAATTATAGACCTGCTAAATACATTAGACAACTGTTAATGAAAATTGAGAAAGAAATAGACAGAACCACAATAGTGGTAGGAGATTTTAACACACCCCTCTCACCAAAAGATAGGTCAACTCAAAAGAAACTTAACAAAGATGCAGAATTAAACTACATGTCAGTCAAATTGACCCTATAGATGTATTCTGAGCACCGTACTCAACTAAAACTCAATGAACTTTCTTCTCAAGTGCACATGGTACATTCTCCAGAATTGGTCATATATTAGGGTACAAAGCAAGCCTCAACAAATTGAAAAAAAAAGTGGAATAATACACAGTATCTTTCCACCCACAATGCCATAAAACTTGAAATTGACTACAGGAGGATAAAGTTTATAAAGCCATCACCATGGAAGCTAAATAACACCCAGTTTGAACATGATTGGAATATAGAAGAAAGAAAGAATGAATTTAAAAAGTTCCTTGAAACAAATGATAATGAAAACACAATGTACCAAAACCACTGGGATGCAGCTAAGGCAGTTCACAGGGGCCAGTTCATAGCAATAGGCAAACACATAACAAATGAAGAAAGAAGGAAAATAAATTATCTAATTCAACATCTTCAACAACAATTCAACAAAAAGAACAATAATTTAACCCAATAGCTTGTAGAAGAAAGGAAATTATATGGATAACAGCTGAAATCAATGAGCTAGAAACAGACAAACAAAGGAAACTATCAATAAGACCAGGAGCTAGTTTTTCAAAATGATCAACAGAATAGACAAACCATTGGCAAATTTAACAAAAGAACAAAAGGAGAAGACACAAATAATTCAATTAAGGAATGATAGAGGAGGCATCACAACAGAACCAGGGGAAATTAAATCTATAATATCAGAATATTATTAAAAGTAGGAATGGCATCCACTTCTGAAAAAAGCTAGCCTCCAGAAACTATGAATGTTGAGAAAAAATGAAAATTATACAAGTGTTCAAGTCTTTCATTCATAGGGTCATTATGAGTCATCTACAACTCTGTGGCACTTAACAACAACGAGAGAGTTCAGTTGGCCTTGTAGACAGAAAGGGATGTTACCAAGCCAAAGGTGGGTGATTCTAATCTGTGGCTCTAAGGCCTGGTTTCAATTTTTTTTGGGTAAAACATTCTTCTTAGTGGTTTAACACTGGTTTGTCCATTTGCTGTTCGAGGTAACTCATGCTTGCTGTAATGCTGAACACTGTGACCTTGATGTGCCAAATGTGATAATGGTTACCCATGGTAGCAGTGTTTGTTGGAGCTTCCTGATTAAAACAAACTTGGAAGCAGGAGTGGCAGCCACTTCCAAAATAGACTGCCTCTGGAAACCTTATGATCCTGGAGAAACAAAAGTTATACAAGTGTTCAAGTCTTTTGTTCATAGAGTAACTATAAGTCATCTACAACTCGATGTCATTTAACAACAACAACAACAATATACTTGGATAAATCTAAGCTTAGAGGAAAAAAGACAAATTCCTTGAAACTAATGCCTTATTCAGATTTACATGGTCAGATATAGAAATAGATTCTTCACAAAAGAAGAAATTGAAAATGTAATAAAAAGACTTCCCCATGAAAGAAGTCCTGGACCAGATGGCTTCTCAGCTAAATTCTACCAAACATTCAGAGATGATTTATGACCAATTTTACTTAAGTTATTTCAAAATATAGAAAAAGAATGTCCCAGAGACATTCTATGAAGCAAGCATAACTCTAATACCAAACCCAGGTAAAGATACTACAAAAAAGAAAACTACAGACCAATATCTATCATGAACATAGATGCAAAATTTGTTAACAAAATCCTAACAATAGAACCCAAAAGTACTTAAAAAAATAATTCATCATGACCAAGAGGAATTCATAAGAGGTATGCAACATTTTCAACATAGGAAAAACAATATAATTCACCACATTAAACAAAAGAAAAAACAAGAACCATATGATCCTAGCTATTAATACAGAAAAAGTGTATGATAAAATCCAATACTCCTTCCTGATTAAGAAACTCAGCAAAATTGGTATAGAAAGTAATTTCCTCAACAGAGTGAAAAATACATATGAAAAATCAAGAGGGACTATCATTCTCAATGAAGACAAACTAAAAACACTTTATTTCCCTGTAAATAAGGACCAGACTAGCATATCCACCGTTAACACTGCTATCCAATATTGTTTTGGAAGTACTTGCTAGGGCAATACAACAAGAAGAGGAAAGAAAAGTACTCTAGATCCACAAAGAGATGGGTAAATTATCGCTCTATGCAGATTACATGATAGTGTACAGAGAAAACCCCAATAACTCAACCAAAAAGCTGTTGGAACTAGTAGATCAATATAGCAAGTGACAGGATACAAGATCAATGTCTAAAAATCAATGGGATTCCTCTATAGTAACAAAAAGAACTCAGAGAAGGAGATCAAGAAAGCAATATGATTAACAATAACCAACCACAAACTGCAATACTTGAGAATGAACCTAACTAAAGGTATGAAAGACCTATGCAAAGAAAACTACAGTACATTTCTGCAAGACAAGTTAAAAGACTTAAAGAAATGGAAAAATATTCCCTGTTCATGGATAGGAAGACTTAATATTGTGAAATTAACACTCCTATCAAAAGCAATCTACATGTTCAAAGCAATCCCAATATAGATATCAAATTTTTCTTCAAGTAGATGAAAGGGAAATTTTCAAGTTTATTTGGAAAGGAAAGAAACCTTGAATAAGCAAGGTATTTCCATACCTACTACTCAGCAGTAGTAACTAAAACAGCATGGTATTAGTAAAATAACAGACACATACACCAATTGAACAGAATTGAAAACCCATAAATGGACACATCTATCTATGGTCAACTGATATTCAACAAGGAAATCAAAGCTATCAAAGGGAATGATAACCTTTTCAACAAATGGTGCTAGAAAAACTGAACTGCTGCCTGTAGAAAGCTGAAACAGGATAAAGCCCCAAACCATAAACCTCATAAGAGACAAACTGAGACCAAGCTTAGAAGGGCTATTCTACAGTATAAAAGGTCTGCCAAATATAGCCAAAAATACACTGAGGGGATAAAATTGATGAATGGGATCCTTGAAAGATGAAAGTCTCTGTGTTCATCAAAACCTTTTTCCAATATGGTGAAAAGAAAAGTACTGACTGGGATCAAATATTTGGCAATACCATCTCAGACAAGGGTCTCATAACCAATGTTTACAGAATCCTACAGGGCCTCCAGAAAAAAAAAAATTAAAAAAACCAACCTAAAAAACCCCCCCAAAACAACTGATAATCAAATTACAAAATGGGCAAGAGATACGGAAAGACTTCTCACAGAGGAGGACATTCAGATGGTCAACAGACACATGAAGAAATGCTCCAAATCACTGGCAACACAAGAGATTCAAATGAAAAACACAATGAGATGCCATTGTACCCTAGAAGGAGTAGCAAAGATTAGCAGGGCAGCAAGTAATAAGTTTTGGAGAGGATGGATGTAGTGGGATAAGAACTCTTATACATTGTTAGTGGGATTGTAAAATGGCACAACCATTCTGGAAGGCAGTTTTACATTTTCTCAGAAAGCTGGACATAGAAATTCCTTATGAGCCAGCGATTCCGTGGCCTGGAAGATGCCCTGAGAAAATGAGAGCTGAGGCAATACCAGAAACTTCTACACCAATGTTCATAACACCATAGTAAGAACACGGAAACAGCCCAAATGCCCAACCACAATGGAATGGATTGAAAAATGATGGTACATTCACAGAATGAAAACAATGCAGCACTCAGGAGCAATGACTTTGTAAACTACTATGCAACATGGGAGGAACTGGATAGTACTATCCTAAGTGAACTAACTTAGTCCAATAAAGACAAACACTGTATAGGACCAATATTGTAGAGCATGTAGGAGGGGTTTACATATAGAGTTGAGTAATTTGATTGGTGGAGGGAGGGATTGGTAAAGGAAATGGGGAAAGTCTGGTGTGAAAAACAATGTATATGAACTTTATGAACTGTGTATGTAAACCAGTATAAAATTATCACCTAAATTGAGAGGGACTGAAGAGCATTATGCTGAGCGAACTAACTCATTCTCACAAGGACAAATACTGTATAGCACCATTATTGTCAAATTAGAATGAAGATCCAAGGTAGAAGCAGATGGGTGAGGAGTGTGTGTGTGTGTGTGTGTGTGTGTGTGATTGATCATGGGTTTTACAATTTGATAGAGGGCTGAGGGAAATGGAAATGATCTGGTATGTAAAACAACATACTTTAATTCTGTAAATAAAGTAGTATAAAAAAGGTAAAAATAAAAAAATGAGCAAATGATAGCAGCATTGTTGAAATAAAATTCACATGCTTCAGAGACATCTGTGTTGAAGACCATGATACTCTGTACACAAGTTTTGCCACATTTTTTATGAAAAAATATGCTAGTGCAATCCCATTTTGTAATCTCAGTGGTTTACATTGCGTCTCACTATTCAGATGCAGTACAAAGTAAAATAGCTCGGGCATAGCAAACAGTACTTGGAAAAGCATTCCTATGTCTGTTTATTCTAAACATTTACAAATTTTAATTCTTTGTCAGATATTACTTTTGGGGAATGATTCTCACTAGCAGAGAATAATGACATCATCCTCCTGCTTCTCATGTTCTGAGAATATGCACAAAAGCAAAGTCTATTGCAGCAAAGTTAGTTCTGGGAATATTTCCATTTGACTTGTTAAAAGAGTGGAGCTTCTCTGGTGAAGCAGTTTGGGTGGAGTTATCTTACCTCACAGGAGAAGCCAGAATAGCCCAGGGGACAATTGCATTTTTCTATCAAGCGGGCTGGAGGAATCCCAGCTGTTGCTTGTCCTTGTTCAGCCACTTCCATAGAGATTTCAGAAATCCTGGAAATAGGGAAGGTGTATATATTGATTTCATATGCAAGCAAGATTCTACTAAAAATTATCCAAAAATGACTAGAACAGCACACCAGCAGAGAACTGCCGGAAGTCCAGGCTGGGTTTAGAAGGGGTTGTGGTAATAGGGATATTATAGCTAATGTTAAATGGATCTTAGCTGAAAGCAGGCAATACCAGAAGAATGTCTATCTGTGTTTTATTGATTATGCAAAGGCGTTTGACTGTGTGGATCATAACAAACTGTGGCTGACTCTGAGAAGAATAGGAATCCCAGAACACTTGATAGTGCTAATGTGAAATTTATAGTTGGACCAAGAGGCAGTCCTCAGAACAGAGCAAGAAAACACTGCATGGTTCAAAATTGGGAAGGATGCACGCCAGGGATGTGTCCTATCTCCATACCTTTACAACCTATATGCAGAACAGATTATCCGCGAGGCTGGACTCTATGAGGAGACATGTGGCATCAGGTTGGTGGAAGATCCATGAACAATCTACGTTATGCAGATGTCACAACCCTGCTTGCTGAAACTGAGAAGGACCTAAAGGGCTTACTGTAGAGGGTCAAGGACTGCAGCCTTCAATATGCATTGAGGCTCAATGTTAAGAAGACAAAGATTCTCACCACTGGACCAATTGGCAGCATCAGGATGGATGGTAAAGAGATTGAGATTGTTCACAGCTTTAGTTTGCTTGATTCTACAGTCAACACTATTGACACCAGCAGCCAGAGAAGTAAAAGATGTATTGCAATGGGGAAGTCTGCTGTTAGGGACCTCTACAAAATACTGAGGAGAAATGGTATCACTCTGGAGACTAAGGTGCACCTGATACAGGCCATGGTCTTTGCAATCTCTTGTTATGTGTCAGAGAGTTGGACAATGACTAGGGAGGATAGAAGGGAAATTGATGACTCCAAGATGTGGTGCTGGAGAAAAGTACTGAATGTATCATGGACTGCCAAGAAAACAAACAGCTTCATCCTGGAGAGGGTTAAACTGGGCTTCTCCTTGGAGGCAAGGATTCTGAGGCTTTGTCTGACATACTTTGGACATGTTGCAAGGAGGGACCAGTCCTTGGAGAGGGACATCATGCTTGGAGGTGGAGGGACAGTGCAGGAGGGGAAGACCTTCTATGAGGTGGATTGATTCAATGACTGGTGTAATCAGGGGTGTGGGGTGTCAGAAACAGTGCAATTGGCACAGGACAGAGCAGGGTTTAGGGCTGTTGTACGTACATAGGGTTGCTATGAGTTTCTAGTGACTAGACAGCACATAACCACAACATAGATATACATTATCATATCAGTACACCAAGAACACCTAGCAAACACTCAGTCTTAGAGAAAGAATATTCTCAAATTTTTTTCAATAACTCTTTGCTTTGAAATTTCCAGATTTCAAAGGCTCAAATGTCACATCTTATTATTTCATCTCTGCTTCCTCTAAGGTTGAGATTCTTTATTAGCAAAGTATTCACATAAATAATAAGACTACAGTAAATTAAATATCTGGTGGCCTAATGAGAAGTCTATGAGAGTTTTATTTTTTCAACTCACAAAATGTAAGTGGCATCTGGTAGACATGAACAATTAATTGGACACTTGAATTATTTCAGATTAACAGACAACCTAAGGTTGTAACTCAGAGTATCTCCCATGTTCTCTCATAAAATCCCATTTTATTACGATATCTCTCACTTTATTCCTTTTAAGTTTCTGAGTGCTCATTTTTTCTCATTAGAGAATGAACTAGAAAGTAAAGATTAAATATTATCAAGTTCATTAATCTCTTTTGAGGTTTATTAAATCTTTCAAATTAATATTTTACTGAGTATTTTTTAAAAAAGAAATTTGGTGACTTAAATAATTTTTTTCCCATTCATGGAAAGGTCTTTAACCTTGACAGAGAAAAAAAAACTGATGATGAAATTGTTTATCCCCTTTTTATTTATTTGCAACTGTACCTTAAAGACATATTTAGCCCATAAAACAAACAGTATTTCATGACTGACTAACTGGTAACATGGAAATGTTCTGCAAATAAACTTTTAAATGAGACAATGAATGACTTTGCTTCAATAAAACACACCTTCAATAGCTTAAGGAGTCTGAATCATAAACTCCATAACAAGCATAGGTAGGTTTTATTGAACGTGAGTTATGAATGTGCTTTCCAGCTTCACTGACATTGTCATCTGTACTCTGAAGATCAGTCAGCCTTTATGAAACATACATTTAGAGAATTCAAATTTCATTTTCCCCTCTCTATTTCATTTTTGGAAGGGTTTTATCACCAACAGTGGTTAAAAAAATAAAAGAAAAACCCACAATACCTCAAACTCATTATCCTGCAGTTCGAACTAACTCGTGGCTGACCCTCCAGCAAGTTTTCAGAGGCTGTAAATTGCATGGGAGGGGATTGTCTATCTTTCTCCTGCGGAGCAGGTGGTGGATTTGTATTAAAGAACAATGATTTTAGTTTGACCTAAGCCATGGTCTTTTCAAGTTTCTTCCAAGTATTTGAAAATTGGATAATAAATAAGGATTTCAGAATTGATGTCTTTGAATTGTGGTATTGTAGAAGAATCCTAAAACACCACAGACTGTCAAGAGGATAAACAAGTCGGCCATGATGAAATGCAACCAGGATGTTCCTTTAGAAGCAAGAACAGTGAAACTGCATCTCACATATTTGGGCACATTGTGAGGAGGGGCTAGTCATTCACTGAAAAAAAGATATAATGTGAGGGAAGATGTAGGGGTCAGAAAAGAGAAGAAGACCCTTAACAAAATGAGTTGACAGTGATTGACATAATGGGCCCTAGTACAGCAGAGATGGTGTAGATAGTCCAGTCTAGAGGAAAGTTCAGATCATAGGGGTCCTAAGAATTGTAATTGCCTGTGATATGGGCATATATGCCTATAATGGCATAAGATAATATTGTTTGTCGTTATGTGCCATCAAGTTGGATCTGAGTTAAAGCTCATCGTATTATATAGATATTCACATTTCTCAGAATCCCAGTGTTTTACAAAATTATGGACATAGCCCTTGACTTTATTGTACTTATCAGTGTTAGACTTTGAGTCTTGTTTTTATTGAATTAAGAGAAAATTTAAATATATCATATTTATTATTATTATTGTTTTTGTTATGTGCTGTTGAATCTCTTGTGACTCTTACTTCAATGTTTTAAAATTTTTCAGTTAAATCAAGGACATTATGGTTACTACAGTACATGCGAGGGAAAAATGAGGAAGAATCTTCTGCTTCAGGACAGATAAAAATGCATTAACAAAATAACTTCTAACATTTTCACAGCAAAGGTTTTATGTACTACCAAACTCTTATTACAGCATGGGACAATCTGCATAATAATATTTGCATAATTATAAAGTTATGTATTATCTTCTATGACATGTAAACTTGCATTGGCTTCAGCCATCTGATTTTCATTTAATATTCCAAAGTAATTAACAATGTGGTTGACAGCATATATTTTGGTACACGCTTCTTTGTTATTATAAAATTAATCTTCTGTGATAAGGGATATATATGAAAAGAAAACTAAAGGAATATAGTTTTGAAAGTGTATTTTGGTACTTGTTTTTCTTTAACAAAAGTTCCTAAGTTAATCAGTGAAGCAATTTGGATCTTCTACAGGAAATAATGGAATTTTCCTCTATAAAATGGGTTTAATATCGTGAATGCATTTAAAAGATAGTACATTTATATTTATTAGTTTGACATAAAGAATATCCTTAATTTTTGTTTTGTTTTTCTGCTCTGCTCTCCTAATTTATTTTTAAAAGCCATTTAAAACACTTGTTGGGTGGATATTTTTATAACAGAGGAACTGACAGGACAGAGAAGCTGAGGCTGTACATAATTAACTTAATTTTCTGCCTTCAAGTTATGAAATGTATCTTGTTGTTGTTTAATGCCATGAAATCTGTTCTAACTCATAGCAACTAGCAATCATATGTACAACAGAACAAGAAACTGTTAAGTCCTACACCACCTTCTCAGTTGTAACTGTGTTTGGGCTTAGAGTCCTAGCCACTGTCAATCCACCACAATGAAAGTCTTTCCATGTTTTGCTGGCCCTCTCCTTCTCCAGAGACTAGCTTCTCCTGAAAACATGACCAAAGCAAGTGAGATGACTCACCATTCTTACTTCTAAATAGCATTCCAGAGACCTCGGGTGGCCTAGTGGCCAGAAGCTGTACTGCAATCCCAAAGACACAGTATGAATCCACCTGCAGCTCCACAGAAGGAAGGACAATCTCCTCCAGTGCAATCTACTACTTGTGAAAACCTGCTGGAGGGTCAGGTATGAGCTAGTCCCAACCCGACAGGCACAATGAAGACAATGAAGCAGCATTCTAGCCATACTCATTTCAAGATATATTCAGTTTTGCTGGAAGTCCGAGGCATATTAAATATTCTTTCCCAACAACATAATTCACTGGTATAAATTCTTCTTGGGTGGTCTTTATTCATTCTCCAACTTTCACATACATGGAAGAGGACTGAAAATATCTTTGTGGTTATGAATTAATGTGACCACACTTTGTACTATAAAATGTGGTTACTGTGTTTCAAACTACTGACCTTGTTTTTTTTTAGTAGCTTAACAATTACTAAGTTACCAGTGCAACCTATTTCTCTCTTAACGCCTTTTCAAAAATGGTGTTCTTATTCTGTATGCTACTCTTTTCTTAATCTCCTTGTGTATTTCCATCTACTTCTTTAATATCAGTAATCTCAACCCTACTTCAAATTTCTACTCCTGATCTGTCCATATGGTTTTAGACTTGATTTTTTACCTGTCTTTCACTGTAATCCCTAATTATGTCACAATTTGTGTGGAAAATGTCAATAATGTATGTAAGACTGTAATAAACAGGTGGGGTTGTTTAACTTGGAGAAGATTGGACCCACTTTGTTCTGCTTGTTCACCCCAAGTCTTGATTCAGGTCAGTCTCTCAATACTCAGATAATCTATTTATAGAATAATTGTTCATTATCTCTACCCCATGTTGTTATGGTCTGTCGAGTTGACTGCTACTCCTAAGGCCGTTATGTACAACAGGTTTGAACACTTCCCTATCCTGTGTCATCCTAGTAATCTCTATCATATCTGAGCCCATATTTATAGCCACTGTGTCAATGCATCTTGTGCCACAGAACAATTAATCAAATTTTTGACTGGAACTTAAATTCAATCTGGCATAGATTAATTGATAATTCCCCCCCTTAGTTTTGTTACTAGGTGTATTTTCCTATTATGAAGAATAGCAAGACTTCTAGGTGACATGAAAGCCATCCTTGCATTGTCCTCTACTATTAAATTCCAAAATGAACCATTTCTACCCTTGCTTGGCTGACTAATCTCTTTTATATAAACTAGTATAAAAATTAACTTGGGTTTTATTTTTATGGTCGTTACCTGCTTTGTCGCATGATATTTCCATAAGTAGCCTTGATAAGAATATAATGAATATCATATAGTACATCCAAGAAATCTTCACGGGTCACAGTCCTACTGATTTGAGGATCATCACCATAATATTTCCATTCTTTCTGTTAACAAGAAAAGAAAACACTCTGAGAAAATGGAATGTAAACTATTGGCATCATTACACCAAACAAGTAATAACTTACCTCTGTCATTTCTATTTCATGCCTTGTCAATTGGCCATTTAAAGGAGCAGCCATGTGTCTGATGATAATTCTAGCATGAGCAGGAGTCCCACCTCGAATGATAATTTGTGGTTTATAAGTAGAGAAACCTGTTTCTTCTCGAGCCTCAAAGTAGATTGCATACTTGAGTTTGCCACCATATGCCATCAACTAGCAAAATACAATGATGATTGATGCATTAGTTAAGTCTCCAAGTGTCATAATTCCAGAAATATCTTTTATTTTACCATCATGTGACACTGAAATTCCTTTTCTTACCTTCTTTCCTTCAAATTGTTCTGGAAGTTTCCAATAAAATGGTTCCAAATGGAGATCTTTTCTCACCATATCCATGTGTGCAATGATCTCTGGATGTTGAAAAGTGATGCCCTTGGTAGTTGTATGTCGCAGGGCTTCATCCACCAGCGGCAGAATGGTCTGCTCAGGTGTCAGGGTTACCTGCAGGGGATCAGGATGCAGCAGGAGGAGAATTCAAATCTTTTGGCCTGTGCCTTGGGAACAAAGCTAACGTGTGTATCCCTATTTGCAGTCCCTCTCCTATGGTGATATACAGTTCTCACAAAAATAGCAGAACTCATGCAAAGTGGGCATGTGAGGGCAGCTGGTAAATCTTTCTGACATGTTTGCATTGTGAAAACCATAGCATCTGTGGAAATTGAATTCACTGACAATAATGAAAAAGAGAATTTAAAAGTAGAAAGAGCTAATGGAAAATCAAAGCAAAAATAAGCATGCTTCCCCCACCCCTAAAATCCAATGGTTCCCTGAGGCTGGTTGGAATAAATGGGCAACAAGTTCTGGTATTCATTGCTACATTAGCACATAACAACATTCATGCTCCAGTGCCTCTGGTCTTCAGAACACGATTTCTTCTCATCCGAAAACCTAATGATTCTCTTATGCTGCTTCTCTTTTTCACTTGGCATCTATTACCTTATCAACAGTAAATGAACTATTTTTAAAAGAAGAATAAAAAAAAGGCATCTACTGCAACTGTATAATGGCAGATGGGCCCTTTACCATCTCTAAATATGCATAGGGGAAAAGGTTACTTAAATGTTTTGCTGTTTCCTCCTATCCCTTGGTGCCTGACTGAAAGACGCCAGCAGGAACTAACATTATACCATTACATGGCTCAGTAGTTCCTTACTCACCCGCGTATGGATCAGTCCTTTTGCTTCAGAGCACTGAGAAGTAACAGCAAAGCAATAGCAGCTGCTGCAGCCAAGTGGGTTCTTGGCATCGAGTCCAAATTTGCCAGGCTGGCACCTGTCACAGCGAAGCCCTTCCACGTTAACCTGAAGTGAGACAAGAGACCCTCAGGGGTAGATCACAGCACAGTTTTGTGGGAAATAAACTTTATAGGAAATAGTGGGAATGCATTCTTTGTTTTATTAAGTAGGACCAAAGAAAGCTGAATATTCAAATCAAGTCTCAAATGGCATACGTAGCTAATGTTTGCACTTCATGGGGCTACAATATGCCTTCTTAAAATATAATATTATTAAGGGTATTTTTTTACTTTGGAAATACAAGTTACACATTTCCAACAGTTCTACTGTGAGCAATAAAACTGCTTAATTCTATTGAGAGCAATATTAAGGATTCACAAGAATTTTAGAAACAAAAGGAAAAAAAGATTTCTAGACATCGAAGTTCATGTAAACTTGTGAAAATCAGGCAGGAGAAGAAAATCTATGTTTATGTAAGTGTTATTGTATTGAGTGTCTGGATCGTAAAAGCAATTGAACACCAGGCTGCTAGCCAACAAGTAAGCAATTCAAATCCACTCCAAAGGCCCCTCTGCAGACAGAACTGTTTCTCTGCTTCCTAATGGTCACAACATTGGAACGCTACAGAATAGTTCTACTTGGTATACATGGAGTCACCATGAATTTGAGTCAGTCCAATGACAACTAACAATAATTGATACAGTGATAGATACATAGATAGACAACTAGGTATATAATAATAACAAAAAAAGGTCAATTGTAATTCATACTGGCCCTAAAGGACAGAATATAATCACCCCATAGGTTTTCAAGTATGTAAATCTTCATATAAGCAGACTGTTACACCATTCTCTTGCTGACAAGTTGGTGGGTTTGAAGCTAATCTTCTTGACGTTAGCACCTGAGGGCTTAATCACAGTACCAACAAGTGTGTAATAGATGTGTGTGTATAGATACGTGTGCATATTTATACACACACACACACACACACACACACACAGATGCACATATGCAGTGATCTGCCATTCAGTCTGCACCCGGCTCATGTGAGCACCATGTGGTGGACTAGAAGAGCATCATAGGTTTTTCCTGGCTGTGATCTTTACAGAAGCAGATTTCTTGGCCTTATCTTTCGCAGAGCTGCTGGGACGGTTTGAACGGGTGTGCTTCATTCATATGAGCACACCACTACCACCATCCAGTTCCTTATATACATTATATAAATATCTATAAAACTAATAATACATATATGCATCATATATTAGGGAGCTTGGTGGCCTAGTGGTAAGAAACTGCACTAATCCTAAAGGCAAGTAGTTCAAATCTACCAGCTGCTCCGCAGAAGAAGGACGGACAATCTCCTTCTGAGAGTTTCACTGTCTCTGAACACCTACTGGAGTGTCAGCTCTGGGTCAGTTCTGACTCACTGGCATATGACAACAACAACAACAACAACAAACAACATATACATGTACCTTCTATATAATGTCTGGCTGTAATTATAAAATTCAACAACCTAGAACTGTGCTTTTTATTACAATTAGCACCCATATTGATAAATTGCTTTTCTGAATATTTCAAGACTGCGTTTCTAAGAAGCAGTCACACTTTGTCTCACTGCTTCCTCCACTCCTTTTTTGCTTAGACTTAATTCTGAACACATACCTCTAGTATTATATTGAACTCATGGATATCTGAGTTTTTTCAGAAATATCTAAGGAGAAAACATCTTTCTTATGCTTTTTAGTTGTCTGTTTTTCTACATCATTTAATAATATAAATGAGGGAAGAAATTTGCAGATAGTCACTGTTATATCAATGTTTAACGTGGTGAAATTTTATAGAAATTTCACAGCAGTAAATACATTTTCCAGTGTACAGTGATTTCAGATTAATTTTTTTAAAATGTAAACCTTATTATTTAACCATGATTATCCTGATGACATTTAAGAGAATGGACTTTATTTATGTGTGTCATTTTTGTATAAGCAAAGAGGAAAAGAGTATTACTTTTTTACCCCTGAAAAAAAGTTGGGCCTTGAAAAGTAGTATATTAATATATATGAATGAATATGTCAATGACTGTATATCAATAAAAACTGTCTATGTAGAAATAAATTTTAGTTTGCTTATTTAGTTATGGAAGAAAGAATTATGAGTATCGATTGAAGTTTAAAGAGAAGGACTGACATAGAATGAGTAAGAATCCTCTTTCTGTGTTTTGCAGCACAAACCTTGCAAATACACTGTCCAGTCTGATCACTACATGAACACTTCTTGGTCTCTATGTCACACGTTTCACTGTCCGTCCCAGGCATGAAGCAGTCACAGAGATCACAGTGTGGGTAATTCCAGTGGCCTCGATTGCACTCTGAGCACTGTGCACCAGAGAACTTTGGTTGGCATTTGCATTGGCCCGTGTTTACATTGCACTGGAAATCAAGAGACCCCACCAAACTGCAGTTGCAAACCTAAAGGTAAAATAACAGGAATTAACACCATTTCTTTGGGTATACTTGAAAATTTCCACTTCAGTATTTCTACATTTCTATGAAACAAATGTCAATCAGTTATTGCATTGCTTTGCATTATTCTATTCAAAATCACATGGGACACAGGAAGAAGCATAACATAAAAATTAGTTCCTGCATTTACTAAAATGCATAATGGTTCGGAAACAGCAATGTTCTCTGAAGAAGAAAGAAAAGCTGGTTTCCCTGTCTACTAGTGGCAGGAAGAGTTTAGCCTTGAGCTTTGTTCAAAAGCTTTTGCTTCAGAGTTTAAACTTTTTACAAAGTCAGTTTTACCCTCTAATTTCATTATTATTCCCTTTCAGTTTTAAAGTGACTAAGTGTAAGAGTCTTGTAGAATGACACAAGTATGTACACACATAGAACATGCTGTATTGGAGAAGGGCATTGTATAGGAGGAGGGCAAAGCACTACAAGAACATGTAAGGAGTAAGAGACACTAAGGCGATTTGAGAACTAAGATCTAATGGACTGTCTTTGATATTTAGTTTGGTTAACAAGCCTGATTAGAAGTGCTTTGTAGGTAATGGTATCTTCCAAGACGAACATTGAATTTTTATCTTTACTTAAGTAATTAAACATTTTTTGCAAGAATTTTAACTAAAGTTTGAGAATTTTCTCTACCTTGAATTTTCTTTTGATGTATTACCATAATATTTTCAAATCCATCTCTGGAGGCTATGGTGTGTCTGATACAGGCCATGGTCTTTGCAATCACTTGTTATGCATCAGAGAGTTGGACAATGACTTGGGAGGATAGAAGGAAAATTGATGCCTTTGAGCTGTGGTGCTGGAGAAGAGGGTTGAGGGTACCATGAACTGCTAGGAAAACAAACAGTTTCATTCTGGAAAGGGTTAAACCGGGTGGCTCCTTGGAGACAAGGATTTTGAGGCTCCATCTAACATACTTTGGACATGTTGTGAGGAGAGACTGGTCCCTGGAGAGGGATATCATGCTTAGGAGGATGGAGGGACAGCGCAGGAGAGGAAGGCCCTCTATGAGGTGGATTGATTCAGTGACTGGAGTAATCAGGATGGGTGTGTTGGAGATGGTGCGATTAGCACAGGACAGAGCAGAGTTTAGGGCTATTGTACATAGGGTCACTATGAGTTGCAAGTGACTTGACGGCACATAACAACATCAACAACATCTTTGAATTTTTAGTATTGAACTAATTTAACAATCTACCTTTTCTCTGTAAACTTTTTTTAGCAAATAATATAGGTCAGAGTCTTATGTGTTCTACTAGTCTTTATCCAACCAGTGATACTGAGTTTTGGTGTTTTATTTTTTTTTAAATTCTGAGTTTTTACTGTACAATTTTTTTCATCTCTACACAAAACATTCTAATAGGAAATCCTTCTGCATGGCCATAGTGATAAAAGGGCATGATCCAGTTCATTTAATTTTAGAATTAAAGAGTTTGCCTTGTGATTTGAATCAAGGTTTACAAGGCAAGGTTTATAGTTTTATATTTAACATTTCATATACATTTTGTGGGACTGACTATAATCCACACAATATGAAGTTATTTATCCCATTTCAACCCACTGTTTCCCATTTCCATCCCTCTTTATCTACTATTCCATCCTGCATTCTGAATTTTATTCTTGGGCAAGTGTTACCTTTGGATCTTAAATTGTTTATTGTTTTAAGGATTACATTTCTGCCCTATGCTATCATTCACCTTATAGACATCTATTGCTTGACTAAACATTGAGTCACTCAAGTGAGTTCATTTCTGGGCCAGAAGGGGTACTATAGGTCAGTCTTATGTGTTCTACTAGTCTCTATCCAACCGGTGATACTGAGTTTTGGTGTGGTTTTTTTTTTTTTTAAATTCTGAGTTTTTACTTTACTTTTTTTTTTTTTCATCTCTACACAAAACATTCTAATAGGAAATCCTTCTGCATGGCCATAGTGATAAAAGGGCATGATCCAGTTCATTTGATTTTAGAAATGAAGAGTTTATCAGTCCTTTGGACTGTGTCTAGATACCTTTGATTGTCTTCATTCTCCTTTGATCCCAACATGGAGAAAATAATAATTGCTCCTTGGGTAGCAAAAACAGCTATAAAAAAATAAAGTATATAACTTTGAAAAGAAATAAAGTATATCACTTTGTCTAACTTCCAAATCTATAACATGCTGATGTTTTCTGTAATATTTTTCATTTGCTTTGCCTTTCTAACTATATCTTCAAGGTTTATTCTTCATTTTATGACTTCTGTTCAACACAGAGCAAATTCTGCTATATGAATGTACCACTAGTAAACTATTGCATTTTGTACTAGGTTGCTGAATGAAAAGTCATTGATTTGAATCTACCAGCTGTTTCATAGGAGAAAGCAGAGGATTTCTTCTCCTGTAAATAGAGGATCATCTAAAATTAGAGCCAATTTGATTATATTAGATTATTTTCTGTGTTTTAGTCTTTCCACCTCCCAAATCTCGAATTTCTGCTCATTTTCTTGTGTTTTTCACTCTTGAGCCAGGTGTAAGGTGCTGTCAAGTCAACGCCAACTGAAACAATCCTATGAGCAACTGAAGAAAATCAGCTCAATTCTGCGCCATCCTCACAATCTCTGCTGTGCTTAAATCCATTATTCAAATCATTTATCAAGACTTCTCATTGAGGGACTTCATGTCTTTTGATGACCCCCACTTTTCCAAGCATGATGTTCATTTTAGGGTTTAGCTTTTTAGCACTATGCCCAAAGAATATAAGATGAAATTGTTCTATCTTTGCTTCTAAAGACCATCCTCTTGTGACTTCTTTTAACATAGATTTGGTTGCTCTTTTGGAAGGCTTATTAAATATTCTTTGACAATACAATCTGAAAGGATCCATTTTCTTTTGGGTTTCTTTACTTACTGCCCAATTTTAACATGTGAATGAAAGAATTGAAAATATCATTGTTTCTTCGAAACACACTTAGACATTGAAATCACATTCTTGCTCTTTAGCTCTATAAAATTTTCTTGGCAGAAGATCTGTCCAAAGTAGAAAGTTTTTTAAGTCGTTGAGTGTTGTTGCTGTGAGTGTTGGTGGCAGATCCAAGGAGGAAAAAGGCTTGTTATCTTTCAATTTTATCCATCTATCATAATGTTGTTTATTGGTCGAGTTTTGAATATTTATGTTTGACGTTGAGATATATACCATATTGAAAGACATAGTCTTTGATCTTCAGTAAGTGCTTCCAGTTCTTTTTCGTTGCAGTAAGCAAGGTTGAGACATCTGCGTATCACAGGCTGTTGATAAGACTTCCTCAAATCTTGATGTCTCATTTTCTTCATACAGTCCAGTTTCTTGGATCTTTATTTGCTGAGCATATATATTGAATACATTTTAGGAAAAAATATAGCTCTAACATATATCTTTCCACATCTTAAAATATGCAATATTCTTTTGATCTTTTTGAACAACTGTCACTTGGTCTATATATAGTTTCAGCCTGAGCACAGTTTTTGCTCTGTAGTTCTCATTCTTTGCAATGTTTATTGTGTACTATGATATAAAGTCAAATACCTTTGTGTAACCAATAAAACAGATAGTGATGCTTATTGTATTCTTTCATTTTATCCAAATCCATCTGACTTTTGTATGATTTTCCTCATTTCACATCCTTTTCTAAATCCAGTTTGAATTTATGACAATTCTAGTCAATGTGCTGCTTCAATCATTTTCAATTTTCTTTAGCACAATTTTACCAGTGCATCATATTAATGAGCATTTGACAGACTATTCTATTGTTAGTCCTCGGCCTTGTTCAGACTGCTTCTCCATTTTATCTTTTTACAAATGTAGGCGATTTTAATCCTGCATATTCCATCTGATATATCCATTTGTCTAGTAATCCATTTTTGTTTCTGGAACATCATTTACAATGAATAATTCCTTGGACTTTGTGGAGTCAGAACTCTTGAAAATTGATCTTGAAATCATCAAGCAAGAATGGTTTCCATACTGTGAGGGGATTGTGAAGATACTTAGCGATACAGTGATAGAGAGAGAGTGAAGAGACTGTGGCACTGCTGTGAAGTAACTGTGGCAAGATGTAATCATAGGAAACTTGGAGATGGAATACAGTTAAAGATTTTCCTTGCTAGGTGATAGAATGAAAAGCTGGTTTGCAACTGCTCTGAAATAAAGTTTGCTGAGCAATTGAGGAAACCAGAAGTTTATTTATGCGGCTGAACTAAACCTAAACTTTCATTGTTGACTGAGAAGCTGACTGATCTAATTGAGAAATTGTACCCTGTTAATCTGGCTTGGGTCTGCTGGACTTGCCTTGTGTGATATTCTTTGTCTCACTCTCCCCCATTCTATTTGTCTAATAAAACCCACAACTGTGAGTAAAACTGGGAGTCAGTTTTCAATGAGCATTGAGCCCAGTGATCTGTGGAATGTGGGAGTGGGATATCTGACTATGTAGCTATTTGTTTAGTACTATGCATATTATTGATGAGGAGAGTTCACCTATATGAAATGGGAGACGTCAGACTTGGTCACGCCCATATTGCATCTGCTCCTTTCAGTCTTACAAAATTCCAAGACCGTTGGAGTAATTTCTACACCAAATCCATATTTTCTAACAAGTGATCTTTTTCCTTTGTTTCCAACTTTTACATTCCAATCATCAGAGATTATCTATGGATTTTGATTTAATGTTACATCAATTTCTCACTGCAGAAGTTGGCCAAAATTATCAACTCCTCCATCTTTCAATTAGTAATTGGTGCATAAACTTGAATAAAGCGATATTAAATACTCTTCTTTGTATGCATATGGATATACTCTATAACTGACAGTGCTCTGCAGCTATTCTTAATGTTTTTACTAGCAAATAATTTGTCTATCTTAATCTAGAAGCTATAGGAGTCTGTAAAATGTGTCTACCATGAGTGATCTTGACAAATCAAAATACTAGTGGCATAGTCACTAACATCACAGCAACATGTAAGTTCACCAGCCTAACAGATGAGTGATGGTAACGATTTTCTAGCTCTTATTTGTTTATAATAAGAAATCACCTTCCACTAGGGAAAAATTGCTCCATTTTTCTTGCTTAGAAATTTCTATTCTACTTTTTTTGTGTAGTTTGTTTGTATTCCTGCTCTTTTTGTTACTCTTTATTATCTTTTTCAGATCTACAACTCTATGGAAATACATACACATTATTTGCATACCCAGATTCAAGCCTTACTTATTTAACTGATTTAAGTTTAACTTTTCCTATCTCACTGCTATCACTCAGTTTAAACCTTATATTTACCACTGCCAGAGATATGTCTGCTTTTGTTCTTGACAGTAGTAGTTTACTTACTGAGCTACTCTTTCTAGCTTATAAAGCACAGCTCTCTATTGTTCCTCTATCTTCTCTTTCCTGTTCAAATGCTTGGTAAAAAAAATTTTCTCTTATTCTGATAATTGTTGAGTCTCACTTTGATATTTGTAGACGTGATATTTTTATACGTCTTTATTCCTATCTAGTCAAAAGTCAGAATTGTGATTTGCTAGCTAGAAATCATTTAAAACCCAAAGATACAAAACATGATTATTTATTATATTACAAAAATTGCATGAGCTTTGAAGATAGAGAATAACTTACTGCTGTCTCTCAAATAAATCAACCTCAAAGAATACCAGACATAAAGGAAGATTTAAACATCAGAATGATTGATTCATTGACATATTCACTTAAATAAAATGACTTGCCACTCACTTTGAATATATACGTATTCATTTAAGGAAAATCAGTCATAATTATAAGCAGAAAATAATGATTTCTTATGGAATGTATAACCATATAATGACTTTTAAGACCTTGTGAAGTATATTTTAGTCACTAAAATCCATAATTCCTGATACACAATTTACTGTAAAAAATATAAAAACTAAATCTCTAATTCTTAAGGAATGGTTAACAGTACAAAGAGATGTTGGGACCTTTCCAAATCAGGAAGTTTATTTAGGAAGTTATAGTGAAAGATAAATGAGGCCATTAATTGCATGTTTAGATAGCACTTTAACAAACATAAAAACTTAAGTCATAATTAGATGTAGTGTTTGTTTAGCAATGCAGAATTTATGCACTATTCCCCTGTTAGTGAAGGATGGCAGACATTGTATTCCACTTCAATAAAAGCTCAAATGATGTGTGTGTTCTCACCTCACCACAAAGAAATTATCCATGACATAAAGAAAAGGAAGCTATAAATCTCAAATTACTGTTTTAAAAATAGGAGATTATATGGTCATAAATAGGTATTTCTATTGTTCCTAAAGCTTAGCTAGTCTCAAACTTGAATTTTGGCCAGTTGTTTAACGCAATACAAGGTATTTTAATTAATCTGATTTGTTATAAATGTTTGTGTAATTATCAGTAAACATACTAACAACAGTATATAGCCAGGGTGGGTTGGTTTGTTGAGGATAATTTGGGCTGTGTAGTGATCCATCTTGATTTACATCAGAACATTAATCATTAGCTTCACTTTCAGGGGTTTTTTTAGAACTTGGCCACATGACCAGGATTTTGAAAATACAATGAAACAATCTTAATGAATTCCACTCATCAATTTCTAATTTGTTGAAAGCCAAGAGTTGCTAGAGGAGACCTAGACTTTCAGAGGTGTAAAAGTTAACTTATCAATGAAGAGATAGCAACTCACATAATTTATCTCTTGCCATGAACAACTGAAAATGAAATAAATATGAATTATACAACAGGTTTTCCTGAAGAACAATAGTTTCCGGAAACACAGGAATTCATTTTCTGACTGAAGTGAAAAAAAAAATGAGGTAATGAATGGAGGTAAATAGAGAGGAGAATCTCAAAGAAAAGCCCAGCATTATAGATGAGCATAGGGAGCAACAGTGAGGTTTAGAGTTTGTGGTGTCATTGAGTCAACCACAACTCCTAATGAACTCATAACCTCATGAACAATACATATGGGCTTTGCCCTACCCTGTGCCATCCTCACAATCCCCAACGTGGTAATTCTCATTGTTGTACTCACTCTTTGATCTCTTTGAGTGTCGTCCTTTCATTTGCTGACCCTCGATCTTTCCCAGACGATAACTTTTTTACAAAATTAGCACTTCTATCAACATGCCCAATATATGTGAGATGAAACATCACCATTCTTGACCCTAATGAGCAACTTGAGATCACTTCCTCCAAGACAGATTTGTTGGCTTTGTTTGTTGTTTGTTGGGGTTCCCACCCCCCCTTGTTGTGGCCTCTCGAGTCAAATCTGACTGGCACAGGAGGAGATTGCTCATCCTTCTCCAGCAGTTCATCTGGTGGATTTGAACCATGCACCTTCACAATTGCAGTGCAGTTTCTTGCCACTAGTTCACCAGAGCTCCCTTAGATTTGTCTTTGTTTGTTTGTTTGTTTTCTATTGGTAATATTTTAATATATATTACATATACTTTTCATCAAAGACAATGTTCAAACGCATCTGTTCTTAAAGGAGTGTTTTTTTTTTTTATTCATTGTCCAACATTCAGATGTACATGAAACAATGTAAGGTACTATGCATGGATGAAGTACACTCTACTTTTTAATCAGAAATTCTTGCTCTTCAAGTAGGTCTCCAAAAGCAGAAATTTTCCCAACAAAACATGTTTTACTTTCTTGACTGCCACAACCATGGATGTTGGTTGTAGATCCAAGTAAAATGAAACTGTTGAAAACTTCAATCCTTTCTCCCTTTATTATGATGTTTCTTATTCGTCTTGTGGTAAAAATTTGTTTTTTCCTGATGTTGATATATAGTCCATATTGAAGGCTTTATTCAACTATTCTCTGCAAGCAAAGTCATATCATTCGTAGAATGTAGAATGCATATTGCTAAAGAATTTTCTTCCAGTCCTGATTCCACATTCTTGTTCACATAGTCTAAGTTCTTGAATTATATTCTCAGTAGACATACTGAATAGGTATGGAGAAAGGATACAACCCTGACACACACATTTCCCTCTATTTTAAACTGCTTAGTGTTTTCTTGTTCAATTTGGAGAACTCCTTTTAGTCTAGATAAAATTTGCTCATGAGCACAATTATGTGTTCTGAGATTCTCATTCTTCTCTGTGTTAGCAATAATGTTTTTGTTAACCACATGGTCAAACATAGTTAATATAACAGAAATAAACATATTTCTGGTACTTTCAGCCAAGATCCATCTGACGTCTACAATGATATGAGTTCCTCTGAACCAAGCTTAAATTTCTAACAATTCATTCCTGGTGTTTTGTTCCAGTTGTGGTTTTCTTTCTTGGTTTATTTTTTTTATTATTATTCTGAGTATGAATTTATTTGCATGTGGAATTAATAATATTGTTCAAGAATATCTCCACTATTGGCTCACCTTTTTGGAATGGACACTAATATATGATACCCTGAAGTAACTAGAATTTGTGGTACAAACAGAATTTGTGTTAAAAAAAATGAAGTGTTATTCTCTTGTCTGAAAGCAAAGAGTACAGAGGAATATCTGTGTTTCATGGGCTATACAAACACATTTGACTGTATGGAGCACACCAAATTATGGATAACCTTGAGAATAATGGGAATATCACAACACTAGATTGTGTTTATGCAAAACTTACACTTAAACCAGGAAGCAGTCATCAGAACAAAACAAGGAAACACTGCATGGTTCAAAATCAGAAAAAAGAGTACATCAATTATGTTTCCTGTGTCCATACCTTCTCAATCAATGCACTGAACAGATCATTTTGGAGTTTGGACTTTATGAGGAGGAATGTAGCATCAGGATTGAGGGAAGATTCATCAACAACCTACATTATGGAGATGACACAACCTTGCTTGCCAAAACTGATGAGCACCTGAACCATTTGCTACAGAAGGTCAAGGATTGTAGTCTTCCATATGGATTTAAGATCAACGTCAAGAATATAAAGATTCTCACCACTTGGTCAATTGGAAGCACCATGATATGTGGAGAAAAGACTGAGGTTATTAATAGTTTTAGCTTGTTTGACTCCACAGTCAACCCTCTTGGCATCACCAGCCAAGATATCAAAAGATGAACTGCACTAGGGAAATATGCTTTCAGTGACCTCTCCAAAATGCTAAGGAGCAACTCTGTCAGTCTGGAGGCTAAGGTTTGCATGATCCAGGCAGCGTTCTTTGAAATTACTTGCTACACATCATGAGTTGAAGAGTATCTAGAAATTACAGAAGAAGAATTGATGCCTTTGAGTTGTGGTGTTGGAGTAGTGTCTTGAACATACCATGGACTGCTAAGAGAAGAAACAGATTAGTCTCAAGAGGGTGAAACCAGGCTGTTTCTTGGAAGCAAGGATTTTAAAGCTCCATCTCACCTACTTTAGACACATGGCCAGGAGGGACAACCTTGGAGAACCTCATGCTTAGAAGAGTGGAGAGACAGTACAGAAAATGAAAACTGAGGGTGCGGTGGATTTACATATTAACTGGATCAGGTTAGGGCATGATTCAGAACTGCTATACATAGGGTCACTATGAGTAAAGGGGAATTTGATGGCACATAGCAAAAAAACTCCAGGGATAGGTTCCTTTGAGATTTGGGATGAGTCATTTATGTGACCATATGGGTTTAAATTCCATAAAGTTTGAGGGAAAAATTGGAAAACCCTAAACTGAAAAATCCTGACAATTTACAGGAAGATGGGAATAATTCTATCATAACTGTTCTATAAATATGTGATGCTGTTATAAACTTTTAGGAGTTATACTGTCCAGCTGTAGAACTCTTCCTACAGAAAAAATTAAAAACATGATCAAAAGAAATAGAGTGATTCACTTACCTTACAACCACTGACAATGCTGTGGCCCCAGGTATTCGGGGCACATTTAGAACACCTCTCTCCAATGGTATTAGGAGGACAAATACATCGACCAGTCTTTGGATCACAATTATTGCCCAGATGGGCACAATCACATGCTTTACAGATTGAAAGGGGAGGACAAACAAAGGGGGGGGAGAAAAAGGGTAAACTTTGATAAAAAAACCATTACATTTTCTTACTACTTTTTTTTTGTTTTCTATGCTATATTTGAGATTGCTTGACAACAAAAGCTTAGCTCATTTCTCTCACATATCACAGCAGAGTGTAAATGATAAAAGAGTTGTTTAATACACCTATGTTTTATTTAATTAACATTTTAAAAATTTTGAGCTTTTCAGATAATTTTAGGACAAAAAGGAATAGGTGTACCAAATTCCATATTAAAAATTTACCTAGATATTAGAACATTAAAAAGTTATTTCTTATTTGAACTCATTACTAAATATCTGTGCTGTGCAGATTTAATTTTACCTGTGAATGGGTCTTATATGCCATAATACAATATACTTAACAGGTGTCTTAAACTTCAATGTCACGTACTTATAAATTATAATCATCAGGATATTATAGTTTGCAAGTATTCAAAGATAGTGAAGCTACCAACTGTCAGTCTATGAAGATATTTGTCTGGCTTATTTACTACCTTCCTTATTTTTAATAACATGTTCATGTACTTGGATATATTTTTATATATAAAGAGTGTAAAATTCATCACTAATGACTGCATTTTTCTCAAAGGATGGTAAAGTAAAATTAGAGAAGACATTCACAGCCACTTTACAATGAGTGTACTCCATGCATTTATTTAAATGGCCAGTAAATACAGTATATTTTAGAACAGCATTACATAGAAAATAAATGTGAGCGAGAGGAAATGCCAAGCACTTGAATTTAAATTGGCAAGCAATGTCACACAAATCTTTTGATTGGTACATAAAAATTAAGTCTTCTTAATTGAATACACTTAGGATACTTGATTAAGTTAGCTTTTTAAGGGAGCACAATTATTGTTGCTCAAAGCATTGCACACCAGCTGTGAAAATGCTTAGCACAATGCTTGACACAGGCTAAACACTAAATAAATGTTAGTAGTTGCTTTTATTATTATTACTGCCATTGCTAATTTTAAGCCAAACGATTTATTTTGTGTGTATCACTCATTCAAATGAAAAATTATTACCATTATATTTAAATTTATTCATTGAAAAATGTCTTAAGACAGTTCAAATCATTACTTGCAAATATGAACTCTCTGAACAGTTCTTTAGTAGACTCATAATTTCAAATTGGAAAAAAAGAACCAGATTAATTAGATAGTTTCTTCATGCCAAAGGATAGAATGTTTACTGCAATTAATAAATCTAATACAGAAATAATGATGATAATAATAATGATAATGATAAACACTTATAGGACACTCATGTGGCAAGTACTATTCTGAATATATTATAGTCATTAATTCAACTAATTTTCTCAAAACGATATGAAGTATATAATTTAATAAATGCATTTTGTAGAGGGAAAGTGAGCTTAAGTCACTCAATCAAGGTCATGTAACTATTTACTGGTGGAGCCACTAGACAAATCCAGCTTACTGTCTCAAGTCTGGTTTCCACCACAAGGTTTCTTGTTTTGTGCATTCTTATCCTTTCCTGTTCTGTTTATCTGGGTTAGAATCCTTGCTAGCTTTGCATGTATTCACATTTAATAATTATTTATAATATTCTTTCTTCTATTTATAATGCTTATAAATAGAAAACAATGGATGTTTATGAGTTTAATGTCCCTCTGCTAATTTATATTGTTGTTGTTACGTACTGTTGACTCAGAAACTATTCATAGAACATTAACTCTCCAGTGGGTTTTCAGAGGAAGTAAACTGCATGGGAGGCAACTGTACATCTTTCTATTACAGAAGAGCTGGTGCATTTGACCCCTGTGCCATTGGGTTGGCAGTGAATCATTGCATTTGTGTTGTGAGATTGAGGAGCAGCACTGAATATTGCATGGACTGCCAGAAGGTCTCCTTAGAGGCAAGGATAGTGAACATTTGTGTCACATACTTTTGGCATGTTGTTAGCAAGAGCTGGTACTTGGAAAAGGAAATCATGCTTAGAAGGGTCAACAATCAGTGAAGAGGGGTTGACACTCAATGAGATGGACTGACACAATGATTCTAACAGTGAGCTCGAGTATGTCAGAGGACAGATTTCCAATCCCTTGTTCTTAGGGTCACTATGAGTCATGGTCAACTTGACAGAACTTTAAAGCAATCAATAATTAAGTTAGTAATGTTGTAGTTGATTGCCATCAAGTCAAGCACGATTCATATGAACTAAAGACCTGAATTCTGTTCTATAACTATCATCATTTCTCTAAGGTCATAGAGTTTCCAGAGTATGTTGTTTATGAAGTGGATGCCACTCTTGCTTCTAAATTTGTCTTAATCTGGGAGCTCCAACAAAATACGGTCCACTATGAGTAAGCATTGAGTAACCATAGAATGCTTCTTTCTAATTTTTCAGTTGTTGTTTTGTACTATTTAGTCAGAAATGATCCACAGCTGAACCGCCAGCAGGATTTTAGAGGCAGTTAATTGTAAAGTAACTGATTGCCCATCTCTTTGTCATGTAGCATCTGGTAGATTCTTGCTCCTTGTCTAAAGGTTGACAGAACAACTGTTTAACATTAGACATTAACTTGATGATCTGAGCTACTGTAGCCCTGGCCTAATTTTGATTGCTGATATTGATCTTTTCTAATGATTTCTTCTACAGATGTAGTCAATCTGATTCCTATGCAGCCCATCAGGTGAGATCTATGTGTAAAGTCATTGTTAGTGTCTTTTAGAAAAGGTATTTGCAATGAATTGATTCTTGAAAAGAAAAAATTCAACCATTCTATTTCCAGCCTCATTTCTGTCTCCAAACCCATACTTTCCAATCACTATTTCTTCTTCACTTTGATTTCAAATTGAGGACAAATAAAATGAAAATAAATTCATAAGAACCTAGATATGTTCTTTAATCTATTCCATTTGAATTTCAATATCATCTTAAGAATAGGTTTGAGGTATTAAAAACCAGTGATTGAAGACTAGATGAATTGTTGGATGATATAAAGGATATCTATCATCCGTGAAGAAAGCAAAGCGTCACTACAAAGACATAGGAGAAAGAAAAAATGAAAATGGATGTCAGAAGAGACTTTAAAAATTGCTCTAGAATGTTGAGAAGCCAAAACAAAGGGAAAGCATGCTTGAAGTAAAGAAGCTGAACAGAAGATTTCAAAGCGTAGCTTGAGAAGACATAGCAAATTATTATAATGGAATGTGCAGAGAACTAGAATTGGAGAATAGAAAGGGAAGAACTAGGTCTGCATTTCTCAAGCTGAGAGATCTGGAAGACATGTAAGCCAAGAGTCACAATATTGAACCACGCAAGAGCAATGACTTTGTATATTATTGCATACCTTGGGATGGACTCAAGAGCATTATGCTGAGTGAACTAACTCAGTCTCACAAAGATAAATATTGAATAAAACTATTATTGTAGAATGAGTATGAGGATCTAAAATGGGTCGGAGATTTTGGAAGCAGAGGGATGAGGATGTGCAGGAGGAGAGGAGATTAATCATGGGGTTGTACAATTTGTTGGGTGGGGGAATGATGGAAATTGAAAGAAATGGTTCTTGAAAAGAGTGCATTGAAATTTCTTAAGTAAACTAGTAGAAAATTTAAAAAAATAAAGCAACAACAACAAAAATTCAAAATATTGAAATATGGGCAGTATTTTTAATAACCCAGAAAGTATTAAAAGAGGATAGAATGAATATACAGAATCACTGTACCAAAAATAACTGACTGACATTGAAAATTTTCAGTAAGTACCATATGAGCAGGAGTCAATGGTAAAGAAGGAGGAAGTGGAAACTGCATTAAAGGCATTGGTGAAAAATAAAGCCCCAGGAATAAATGGGATACCAATTGACTTATTTCAATTAATAGATGCAGCCCTGGATGTGCTCACCAGGCTATGCCGGGAAATTTGGAGGATGGCTGTCCAGCCAATGGATTAAAAGAGATCCATATTAGTTCCCATTAACAAGAAAGGTGATTCAACAGAATGTGGATATATCATTAATATTACATGCAAGTAAAATACTGCTGAAGATCATTCAAACATGGCTAGAACAGTACATAAATAGGAAACAGCCAAAAGTTCAAGCAGGATTTACAAGAGGCTGTGGCACTATGTATATCATTGCTGATGTCAGATAGATCTTGGCTGAAAGTAAGGAATACCAGATGAACGTCTGTCTGTGCTTTATTGACTATGCAAAGGCATTTGTATTTATCATAATAAATTATGGCTAACATGGAAAACAATGGGAATTTCAGAGCACTTAATTGTGCTCATGTGAAACGTATACGTAGAACAGGAGGCTGTTATGCAAACACAGCAAGAGAACACTACATGATTTAAAATTATGAAGTGAGTGTGTCAGAGAGGTATCTTTCTCAAAATGTATTCCATCTGTATGCTGAGCAAATTATTCAAGAAGCTAAACTCTGTGAAGAGCAACGTGACATCAGGATTGGAGGGAGACTCATCAATAACCTGCATTATGTAGATGACACAACCCAGCTTGTTGAAAGTGAGCACTTGAACCACTTGTTAGAGAAGATCAAGGAATGCAGCCTTTAATATATTTTGCATTTCAGTGTGAAGAAAATAAAGACTTTTTTTTTAATGACTGGACTTACAGGAAACATCATGATGGATAGAGAAAAGATTGAAACTGTCAACACCTTCATTTCACATGGGGATACAATCAATATCCTTGATACCAGCAGTCAGAAAATCAGGACTGGGAAAGTCTGGAATTAAAGATCTTTCCAAGTTATTGAGGAGTAATGATGTCAGTTTGAAGACTAAGGTGCATCTGATTCAAGCCATGGTCTTTCCAATCACTTGCTATCCATCTGAGAGATGGATAATGGATAAGGATGACAGAAGAATGATTGCTTTTGAGCTGTGGTATTGGAGAAGAGAGCTGAACATTCCATCAACTGCCAAAAGAACAAACAAATATGTCTTGGAGAGGATGCTACCAGAGTGCTCTTTAGAAGCAAGAACGATGAGGCTTTGTCTAATATACTACTTAGAATATATTGCTAGGAGGGACTACTTCTTGGAGAGGGACATGGTGTTTGGAAAGGTGGAGAATCAGCAAAGGAGAGGAAGACTCTCGACCAAGTAGATTGACACAGTGATGGCTGAAAATGGCTTTAATGTGTCAGAAGTGAGAGGATGGCACAGGGTTCAAATCTGATGTTCATAGGATCCCTATAAGTTGCACTCGACAGCACTTAACAACAACAACAACAGATAACAACTTGACGGTTACAAATAGACTCTAGGATGATCTGCAATTTTTACATGTAAATAATTTTTAAAATGACTTCCTGATAAAAGCTACATGTAAATTGTTAGAGATTATCTGAAAGAAAATACTCTTTAGTGTTACTCTTGTTCTTGAAATATATGTGCTACAATAGTCAATACCAATGTCTTAAAATCTTTTCATGTGCTTTAATATCATGGTGCTGAGGGTATAGGAGAAACATTAATGCTGAATAAACTAATTTAATAAATAGAGATCATATTCAACCTCATCTGAATAAAGATCAAACTGAATTTCTCTCTCCCTCTCTCCCTCCCTCCTACTCCTCCTTTCTTTCTCTCTCTCTCCTTCTACCCCCACTTCCTCACTGCCATTGAGTTGGAACCAGCTCAAAGCTGTGTGAGTTGGACTTCTGATGTCGTAAGTGGCACAGGAGGAGACTGCCCGTCTTTATCACAGTGAGCTGCTCGTGGATTCCAGCAGTACAGAAGACATGCATGGCCTTCTGGTCAGCAGCACAACTGCCTGTGCATCAGGGCACCAAACTCAAACTAATTACCATTAAGCCTGATCCGACTCACATCTCATGGGAATAAATTACCTTTCTCCCGCTAGAGCTGCTGAAGGTTTCAAACCACCTGCCTTGGATTTGGCAGCACAACTCCTTACTGACTAAGCCAACTCACTAATTTTAAAGTCAAAGTTAAAAGTGACTTCTGTCTAGTCAGAATGAAGTAGGAAATAACACACTATATATAGTATTTCAGACATTTGTTATCAACGCATATTTCTTTTACTTTCTGTGGACCCTTAAGAACAAGCTTAATGCAACCAAGAAATAAAACTGAAGGTGATTAAATAGGAATAATCTTATTTTCAGACCTGTGCATCCTCCTTCTTGAAAGTTGTAATAGCCATGGGCACATCGGTCACATTTCTTTCCTGTTACTCCTGGCTGACACCAGCATTGTCCACTCTCTTCACAATCAAAAGACTTAGATCCAAAGGAATTACAGTTGCAAGGAACACACCCCCTTGCTGACTGCAGGCCAAAAGTTTCAGGCTGGCATTGAAGAGGAGGGAGACACGTTACATTCTAATCAATTCATTAACAATAAAACACACTGCAAAATGCCTAAAGAGCGGTGAGGAAAAAGGAATCTTTGGGTCATTAGGATACTTCTTTGAGGCCATGACAGTTGGACTCTCATTCATCAAAAGGACTTTTCTACCATGCTTAAAAAAGAAGAGTTCAAGTACTTTGAATTGCTATCAGGACACTGACAATTGTGGGCAGTATTTTTTCTTTGGTACATTTTTATCAGTGTTTTCATATACTTCCCAAGTATCTATCAGCAATGTGGAAATAAGCTATTTGAATGGCAATTACCATTTTAATTGAAAATTTCATTTGTTTCATTTCTAATAATGTGAATTGATTAGGGTTAATTTAGCTCCTTCTGTTTGGTAAAACTTCTTCCAATATTACTTACAGATAGCCTAAAATTAAAATCTTTTCCACCTTACTATTTTACCTACTTTTTGGCTAATGTCCATAAATAGTTCTGGTCATCATTAGACAATTCATAACATAACATCAACTCATAGATAGATTATGCTTATACTGACAAAACAATTATTTACAAAAATATGTAATTTCTAGGGAGTTTATTCCAAACAATCCAAGTGTATTTGTGTGAATGTCTACAAAGCATGAAATTGACAGGTGGAGAAACATCATGAATTCTCTAACGACTTTCCCTTATGTACATTTTTTAACTATTTGAAATGAGTTATCATCAAAGAAGAAGTTTTTATTACTTGTTTTAGACAATTCTCTTGAAATAATTGTTATAAAGTTTAGAGTGACAATGCTAAAAATGCTTACATATTACAATCACTTCAACTGGAAGAATGAAAGTTTATAGTCTATGTAAATTCTTTCAGCGATGTCTTTTAAAATACAAAGTATGTCAAATTATTATGATATATTAAAGTAAAAAAATCAGTCTCTGTAATTACATCTTCATAAAAATAATTCCTGTTTTGGAAAATTAGACTTAATAGTTACTGCTTGGTAAAAATAAACCTTGTCTCTTAATGTGAGCCACCTAAAGAGAAATAAGTAAGCATCATTAAGCACTTTTATGATTAATTTGAACTATTAATAAGTTAAAGAAAACAAATCACATTCACAATTAGCCTTTTAAGCTTATTGGAGATAAAAGTAATTTTATTTCCTTAAGTGTAAAGTGAGTTGACTTGAGTTTTATAATAATTTAATATTTATATTTACTGCTGATTTACTTTTATTTCTAATTATAATTTGGATTTCATTATATGATAAAATAAATATTTTCTAAGTCTTAAACACCCTCAAATAATCATTTTGAAATTAAATTGAACTACATAAAGCAGAATTATAATGTAATATTTTTTATTCATATAATGTAATTCAATATGCTAATACTACATATTTATTTTAGAGAAACTGGAATAAAGATTAATGTACAAGTATGCCCATTGCAACCATATTATAGTAACCATAGGGAAAGTTATAAGTTCAATGTTATAGTTAAATAATTATGGTACATTCATGTTATGAAATTATATGCAGTCATTAAAATCCTATAATTAAATTATTTTAATGCATTAATATGTTTAGATATAATGATGAGTAAAAATGTTAAAAGCAGAATAAATAAAATACATACACACTCAATCCTAATTACTTATAAACCCAAAATACCACATAGGCACAGATATGTAATTGAGTAGAACATAATGTGTTAACAATTTTCACTTTAATCAGAGTTTCAAAACAATAGTCTTCTTTTTCTACATATCCTTTACTCAGCATTGACATATTTGCCTAAAGCAAGAAAATAGTAAAGGAATATCTCAATCAGTTTTTAGTAAATACAAATCTAATCTATTTAAATAGATATATAGATTTCTCTATCAAAGTTTTAAAATATTAAAACAATATAGATACAAACAAAATACAGCTTACAACAAAAGAACTACAAAATTATCAACTTTTTACTCTATTGGTTTTTCAAAAGGTTATTTTTTGGCCAAGAAAATCTACCTAGTAACAAATTTATCATCATCAGGGTTCAGATCTGTTGTTCATAAGAGTCATATTTGACTTGACAGCATCTAACAACAACAGCCAAATTTAAAGACTAAACTTCTTAATTGTGATTAATTGATAAGAAAGAATTGGTAGTGTATGTCAATGCTTGGTAGGAAACCTAAAGGATACCTGTAAGTTCTTCTTACTGTACATAATAACTGCAATTACCATTTGTATAGTGCTTATTTTATGTCAAGTATTATTTTGAATTTCTTTAACAATAAGTACTCATTTAACCCTGTAGATAATGTTGAATGGCCGAGGGATTATCATAACCACTATTTTAAAGGAAGGGAAAACTGAGGTCCAGAATATTTAAGTTGTCTTGCTCACTAAGTTAGCCAATTGTGAATGCAGAATTCCAAATCAGCCAATCTGGCTTCAAAGTCCATGGTCTGTGCTGTAGATATTCCCTTCACATTCTTTTTTTCTTCCCAAAGTATGAAGACAAAATGTTGTTTTTTACAACAGTGGGAAAAGGGAATAAATGAGGGTTTGTTTTCTGATAACATTACACTGTGGAAACATTTGGAAAAATCACTGTCTCTTTCAATTACCTTAAATCCATCTGTTGCTTTTAGGAAAAAAGCATTTATTTTCAAATGGTTTCATTGAAAAGGAATTGTATAATAATGGCAACAAAGCCCGTTGTTTAGGAGGAACTTTCCATGCCTATATCTGTGCATGTCTATGCCTATTTGTCTACTAAGCCGAGATAGGAGCCGTGGAGTTAACAAATCTTCCTGCAAAAGAATTTGCTGTAAGTGGGTATAAGAGGTAGATAATTAACAACTTAGCTTCACCATTTTTGGAGTCAGTGGAGGAACACAGAGCAGACCAGGCTTCTCCCAGCCAGTGACTGATATGTTGAGGAACTAGAACCTCCTTGTCCAACAAAGAATTGTTCAAAATATATTACACTAGGGCAATTCCCATCTGCCTAGTGAAGATTTCAAAATTTTGACAGAACACACTGTATAAGTCTCTTTCTACACTGTTTATCCTTCCCTATCTCCTTTCAAAACAATCAGACTTGCACAATTGATAGTATATCCTTATCTGTTCTTGCTTTCTCCATTTTGACTCTTCACAGGCATCTCCCCAGTAACTCCCTTGCCTTTTGTTTCTTAAAGGACCAAAACAAATAAATTTCTTATGAAATGAGTCTTGTAGAAATCAGAAATTGCATTACAGGACCATTTATACAAGTTGTCTTAAAATGAGGAACTGTCTAATTGAATTTAGTCAGACATAGAAGGACATAAAAAATGTATTTTCTTAAAATACATCATTATGGAGTTTGTCTTTCAATCTGGATTTTCTACCATTATTTGAATGTGAATCACTGACACGTGGATGGGACTATGTGAATAGGACGTGTTGGTTTATCCACAAGGGGGACTGGCTTTCTACTGTTCGGCAAGATGATTGGCCAGTCTCAACAGTCTATAGGGGGATTAACTAGTCTACCAATAAATAGAAGAATTCTAGCTTCAGAGATAGAATATTCCCCACCTGAAGAGAAAAGAGAGCTCACTAAATCAATTAAAAATCCAGGACACATTTGAATACTGCAGCAGCAGCCATGGTCAAACTGAAGACATGATGTGAGATGAGATGAAACTTGGGGACAATGTTGGCAGGACTGATAACTCTGTTGTATAATTGAGGGGAAGAATCAATATTGGAAGGATTGAAAAGTTGGGAACCCTTAGGGCCACAAAGCTCAAGGCTGAAGGGCCCGTGTACACATTTTGGGAGCTGTCTTGACTGTATACTGTTATCAATCTGGAGTATAACTTTTGATTTCTCCAGTACAATTCTGTGCAGTCTGTGAGCAGAATTGGATTTTAGACCCAGAAAACAGTAAGATTGGTGTGGAGATGGGCAGAAAGAGGTATGAGAGCATGGAGGACATGACTGACTCCATGGGAATTGGTTTTGTGTTGTTGATACCATGGGTGGGGACAATCCCTCCTTGCACATAAAGTTGATATATATTAGATAGGAATGTTCCCATATGTCCTTTGCTCTCTTTGCAGTAATATAGCTGTTGTTATAGGCCACCGTCAGAAATTACTCATAGTTGACCCTCCAGAAGACTTCAGAGAAAGAGACTGTCTATCTGTCTCCTTCATAGCAGATGATGAGATCAAATCACTTGTCTTTGGGTTGGCAGCACAACTCTTTACCCATACAGATCAGCACATTTCCCTTAAACATGTAATATTTAACAAAGAAATGAAAATCTCATTTTCTCTGTCTTTGCTTTTTGTTTTTTACTCACTCCCTCAATCTTCGTCTCTATATCTCCCCACACTGATTCAAGCTTTGTCCCTTGTTATCCTGAAACTAAGCTAGGGACCTACTCCTCCTTCCTTTCCTTGCCTCCCTTCCTCTCTTCCCCATTGTTATTGCCTAGGACCTTTATCCTGAGTGAAAAGAAGCCAAACTATAGGTTTTCTATTTCTTTTGTTTTTTATTAGAAAGCAAGTTTCCTTACTTTCTATGTCTTGAATGCCACATTAAATTATGTTTGTAGTGTTTGCCATATAACAACAAAAACCAAAAACAAACCAACTAAACCAATCACAGTTTTAAACCATAATGAGCTTACAGGACCATATGAGGGTTTCCTGCGCTATAAATCTTTATGGAAGCAGACTGTCAAATCTTTCTCACTTGGCCTCTGGGTTTGAACCCCTAATCTTTTGCTTAGGAAGCAAGAATATAAACATTGCATATGAAACTTCCATTTTACAAGTGTAAAACTGTGCTGTGAAAATATACCAAGTCATTAAGTATGATGAAATCCAGGTGGTAATATAAGAATACAGAACATGTAAAGAATGTTTAAATAGTGGAGAGAAATGAAATGAAGAAAGAGAAAAAAGAATGCATAAGAAGAGAACAGACATAGTGGGATTGGTTTACCAATGGTCTGGAGCAATGTAATCAATGCATTGAACTGTGTGGTGTAAGTCATTCATACAAGTGAGTTTGCTCTAAATGATGCCTGAGAACACTTTTAAAATTCATACTCCTGCAAAGAAATATTTTCCTTTGATTTACACCAACCAATGTGTAATTGAAGTTTTGCAGTGGATTATCCTATGCCATGGAATATCCGTTAAAGCATATGGAGATCTATTTTTAAAAATGAGGCTTCCATCAGAGAGAGGCTAATTTTTGCATTTGCAATTTGCACACATAGCAACTGTCAGTGGGTAAAATGCCACCAGGGAACTTGAGTCACCGCACACTGAACACGACATGCTGAGGCACGAGCCATGCAGAGCCTCTGAGATTACCGGAGCTGGCACCCGGTAGGCTCCCCGTGGGCACCCACTGGAACTGCTGAAAGCCCACCTCTGGGGAGACACCAGCACTCGGTGGGCTCTCGGCGGCTGCTCCTCCTGGTGGTGCACCTGCCTGCCGAGGTCGCACTGTCTGCCTACGAAGCCTGGTCGGCAGACACAGCGTCCTGTTACGTCACACTGTGATGACACAGAGCCAATGGGACTGCAGTCACATGGCACACAGACTTGCTTCTCTGGATCCCACCATGTATTGGGCTTTAAAAGCCAAGAGAAAATAAAATAGGAAAAAAGAGTACAGGTATTATTCAAGAAACACAAACTAATATTCTCAAATTTGCCCTGAAAAAAACAGTTTATTATCTAATAAGTTTTGCTAATGCTTAGCAATGGCTGATAAAACCTATTTATATAAATGAGGGGGTACAATCCAACCATCTCTACTGAAGGAACCTCAACACACACATAGTTACGACAGATGAGATCTGCAGGTATGGAAGACATCATGATTTAACTAAATAGTTCGTTTTAGCTAAATGATATATCCTAAACATACTTTTACTTATATTTTCCTAAAACTCTGAAGTAGAATATTCATTGGAACCAACTTTTAAAGGCTTGAACTAGAAAGGGGGAAGCGAGCAAAGAGAAAAAAACATTTTATTCTACCACACCTTTAAAAGCAAAGGGAGAGAAAAAGATATTTACTTTCCACTGAATAAGATGAAATTTGTATATTCTTGGTTTTTCAGAAACATAAATTATTGGAAATATTCAACAAAGTCATTGCCAAGGAAGTGTAGGCTGAAAGTCCAATGTTAATGCACAGTATATTTAGTTCTAATTTTACAAATAATTACTAATCCCAGTAATTTGATATGTGTAGTGAGATCATCGTCATCCTCATTTCACTATAGTAAGGTGTATAATTTATACCAGGGAAACCATCTCAAAGAGGAGATGGTCTGGGTTAGACTCTCCTTACCTTGCACTCATCACACTTCCATCCCTGTACGTTGGGTCTGCATTCGCACTGTCCTGTCTGAGGGTGGCAAACCTTAGAGACGGAGCCATTGACATTACAGCGACAGGCTGCAAAGAGAAAGATCTGTGGTCAGAAAAAACTTCCTGATCACCTAAGAGGTTTGTTAAATAAGAAATAAAGCATTCACTCCTATGGGTTTTGCTTTTTTGGTATTATCTCATTTGATCCTTACAACAATTCTACAAATCATGAACATAATTCATCAAACATTTTAGGACCATTCCTAGCTTTTATATTCTTTCATACCTAATGAATTATAGTTCCAGTTTTAAAAATGAGGACATTGTAGTTCAAAGCAACCATAATTCATGGAAAGCTACATCCAGGAAACAATAGACTTAAACAAAGCAGAAATTGTGAGCATTTTGCAAAATTGGGCAGAGTTTTATTGTTAAACATAGAGTCATGGTGAGTTTTGGCCTACTCACTAGCACCTAACTACAGCACCAACCCACAACATATTTAGGCAGTGTTTCGTTCTAGTTTAAACAAGAATCAACAATAACCACAACAAAAGACATGAACTCTTAGTAGTATCTTTGAGTCTGGAAGCTTAGTTCTCCAGATTCCAGGTCAGTGTTTTTTCCCTTACTTCTTCAGCTGTTCCACTTCTTCATAGGTGGTTGTGATGGTGTAGTGTCGAGTCAGAACCAACCCATAGATGACCCTCCCTGCTGACAGGTTTTCAGAGATAGTAACACAGGAGAAGACTGCCCATCTTTCTACTACAGAGCAGCAGTGGATTAGAACTGTGTCCCTTCGTAATTTCAATGCAGCTTCTTTCCCCTATCCCCCTAGAGCTCCCTTCTTCATAGAAAGATAGGGATTAAACTTAAAATACTCTGAGCTCTACTGGCTTAGTGGAAAAGAGTTGTGCTGCCAAAGCAAAGGCTCACAGTTCAAATCTACTGGTTGTTCCACTAGAGAAAGATGGGCAATTTTTGTATGATTTAAAGATTCTGGAAACTGCTCAAGGGCCAGCGAAGAGTCGATTCTGACTCATATAGCATCATATAACAAAAACAATAATTATATTGCAAGTCATTAAAATTTTGATACATTATTAAAATTACTGTAAGGTATGCATAAATATGAATACTTCTATTAATTGGAAAAATCTGCTGTCAGATACTTCTCTTAAAGCCTAAAGAGCAAAGATCTCTGTTTTAAAATAAAAGAATATTCATGACTGAAGCCATAATATTTTCAGTTGTTTAAGATGCTGATGAAAGACAGACAATGATCAATGAAGATTGATGCAGAGCGATCTTCAATTGAGAATTACCTTTGAATTGTGGGGTCCAAGAAGAGTATTTAGTAGACCATGAACCAAATGAAATAATCAACCTTGGACAAAATGCAGATACCATGCTCCTTACATAGAAGGATGGTGAAGATTGTCTCACATACCTTGGGCGTATTGTCATGAGAAGTCAGTCTCTGGAAAATTAAATTGTGCTTAAAAATGTGGAGAGTCAGCAAAGAAGTAGACATCAGTGAGATGGAATGACTCAGTAGTGGAGACTGAGAGATTGGCACAAGGTCAGGCAAGATTTAGGTCTGTTGTCCATTAAATAGACATTTAAATGAATTCTAGTAACACTAATGAAGAATATTAATTACTCTTCAATTGAATTACCATTTACAACCTACCAACTTTTCTTTCATGTTTTTCAAAAAATGAGCTCAAGGTATAATAATTATCTTATTATCATTTCCATATGGTAGGAAATCTACTGGCAGCTAACCCTTCAGCAGGTTTTCAAAGGCTTTTGAGGAGACTTCTCATCTTCCTCGCACTGAGACAATCTTTTATTCAAATAGCCAGAGAAGAGTCCCTTTTGGTTTAGGGCTGCACTGCACCACTAGAATTCCATTTTAAAGATATTGTGTCATTAATTTACAGGAGATGGGGAGGCACAGTCTCTGGAGCAATGAGCTGCTGTTCTAAAGGTGGCACCTTTCTGACAGTTTGCACCCACCTTCTGCTCAGTGGAATAAAAGTCACTCTCTTCCAATGCAATATGGTGACTAGACTCTCGCTGGAGGGTCAGCTCTGAGTAGTCAATTCTGACTCCACAGCAAAGGGAATGCCATGGCATTTCTTTCCACATTAAAAAACAAAAACACCACTGTATTTAAGTTTGAAAAAATCATGTGTGTGTGTGTGTGTGTGTGTGTGTGTGTGTGTGTGTGTGTGTGTTTATTAAGGGAGCTCTAGTGCCCTAGTGGTAAGAAGCTCTCCTGCAGTCCTAAAGACCTGTGGTTTGAATCCCCCAGCTGCTTTACGTGGGGATTGACAATCTCCACCTGCGCAATTTACTCCCTCTGAAAACCCACTGGTGGGTTGGTCAGCTATGGGTCAGTTCTGACTCCATGACACACAATAAGAAGTGCCTTAAGACTACAGCATTATTTTCAAATTTATAGTCTATCTTGAAAGATAGGATCTATATTTAGTTTAAGTCACTTTTTGTCATTTTTCTCCTAAGAAGTTGTCTTTTATTCTGTTAATCACCCTAAAGCATAACTGTTTTGTTCCCAAATAGAAACAGTAATTAATGGCTTACTTTGTACTCTGAAAGTGCACTTTTTGTGGTACATATAATTACATAGATGCTAAAATAAAATTATGAGCAGATGATGACATAGGGATTTAGGCTATTTATAGATGGTTTTGGATAATTCTGTAAAATATCTGAATATTTTGACTTGAGTAAACTTTATAAAGAACTGTTCCATCAGGTTATCCCATTATTCTGTTCATCTGAATCAAAGTTTTACTTTATTTTTCTCCTATTATGCAAACTCCTTAGATTTTCTTCCACCATAATTTAAATTCTAACACAGGTAATTTGGTGCTACAGTTTATTGAATATATTCTACCTTAGATTATTTGTTCAGCATACAGATTGAATAGCTATGATAAAAAACATGCAAGACTGACTGACACTTTTTCTGATTTTAACTTATACAGAATCCTCTTTTCCAATGACGGTTTCTTGGTTCATGTAAACAATCTGACAAATAATCTAAGAAGGGTTATATGAAGACTGTAGTGTCAGGATTGTATAAACACCCATTAACAACTGGCATTATGCAAATGACACAATCTTGTTTGCAGAAAGTAAAGAAGACTTGAAGTACTTACTTTAGTAGATCTAAGACTACAGATTCCAGTATAGACTGCCTCTCAACATCAAGAAAACAAAATTCCTCACCACTGGACCAATAAGTTACATAAAAATAGATAGAGAAAAGATTGAAGCTATGAAAGATTACATATTCCTTGGGACTACTTGCAATAGTATTGAATGCAGAGGAGTATGGACTACCAAGAGAACTATCAAGAACAGATAAGTCTAAGAAAGGGTGAAAGCAAACTGCTCCATTGCAGCAAGGATTTTGAGGCTCTATGTCATATACTTTGGGCATGTTGCCAGGAGTGACTAGTTCTTAGGGAAAAAGGATGTCATGCATGGAAGGGTGGAGGGACAGTGCAGAAGAGGAAGACCCTGGATGATATTATTGACACAGTAATTGGGGTAATAAGGGTAGGTGTGTCAGAGACAGTGAGATTGGCTCAGGATAGAGCAGTGTTCAGAGCTATTGGGCATATGTGTTATCTTTGACTCAATAGCATATAACAATAGCATCCAATAACCATGGAAGCAGCAATCAAGAAATAAAAAAAAGCAAATCAAAAAACAAAACCCAAACATTTTACACTTGGAAAATATAAAGTCAAGGACCTCATTTTAAATATTAAAAATATAAGTTTAAAGATTAAGATGTACCTAATACTCAACCTGATAGATTTTCCAGTGACTGTAGCAATGGGCTCAAGTGTGTTAAAGATTGTGATAATGACACAGGTTAGAACAGGGTTCAGATCTGATCATAGGGTTGCTATTAGTCATAGTAAAGTTGATAGCATCTAACAATAACAATATAAATAATCATCTTTTCAATTAATATGCATGTAAAAATTGAGCAATGAATAAGAAGACCAAAGGAGAATTCTGAATGGTGGTGCTGGAAAAGAGTACCAAACATTTCAGGACTGCCTGAAAAACAAACTAATCTTGGAAGAAGAGTTCTCCTTAGTGAACAAGGATGGGGAAGTTTCATCTCATACTTTGGACTTCTTGTTATCAGAACTTGATAGTTCCTGGCAAAAGTTATCATGTTTGAAAAGGTGGAAAGTCAAAAGAGAACAAGCCCCTTGAGGAGATGGACTAACAGGTGACTGCAGCAATGCACTGGAACATTCTCTGTAGGAGAAGGTCAGCCTCAAGCAAGACCGGGCATGTTTCTTATTGGTTGTACACAGGGTCGCTATGAATTAGAAGTAACACAGTGATACTTAGCAACAACAACTATTACTTGAATCAGTGCAGTGACCACTAAGCAAGATGCTTTAGTACTAAGATATTCACCTCAGGTAAAAACTTCAGGGTGCTTAGTCTACAGCTTGTGGATGGAGAAAAAACAAATAAATATTTCATCCAGAATCTAGTTACACACACATTTGTAAGTTTTCTGTGCATATTATACACATCTTTAAATAATTTGTATTTGGATTTCACTTTATCTTAATAGAGTGGGGAATAGAGCACTATATATATATATATAATTTTTGTGCTTTGAAGGAAATAGTAAAAAAACAAGGCCCCCGGAATTCATAGCATACCAATTGACATATTTCAGCTAACAGATGCTGCCGTGGATGTGCTCGCCAAGTTGTGCCAAGAAATCTGGAGAACAACCACTTGGCCAACTGACAGGAAGAGGTCTATATTTGTTCCCATCCCAAAGAAGGGCGACCCAACTGAGTGTGGAAACTACAGAACAATATCATTGATTTCACATGCAAGCAAGATTCTACTGAATATTATCCAAGAACGACTGGAACAGTACATCAGCAGAGAACTGCCAGAAGTCCAGGATGGGTTTAGAAGGGGTCGTGGTACTAGGGATATTGTAGCTGATGTTAGATCGATCTTAGCTGAAAGCAGAGAATACCAGAAGAATGTCTATCTGTGTT